GGCGAAGGTTCGCCAGGCGAGTGTGCTAGCGAGTAATTCCAGAATAAATCCCAGTGGACTTCGCTGGCAAGTTTGCCAGGCGAACGGGTAGCGAAGGTTCGCCAGGCGAAGGTTAGCGAACACAGCAGCATGTTTTCTTTTCTTGTGCTTTCCATTCGTGGATTGATTGTGTGGTTTGGTTGCGATCATTCCTTTTCTGAGATGACTAATTATATGATATTATGTGTGTTGTGGGTAGCCGTATGGCGTGAATCCTAGATTATGAATATGTGGCCTTTTGGCATATGTGATGCATTGTTTAAATTGATTGGAAATGCATGATGGATGTGATTGAGTTTATTGTCGTTTGGCATGATATTTACAAGTGCATATTACTCGTATGTGATGTATGATGATTGTAAATGTGAACCATATTTAAATATTGTGAGTGCATAATGAATGCATGAGTATGTTTGTAAACATGTGTGCATTTCAAGAGTGTCATGAGTCATGTTGCATGTGAAGCATCATGGTATGCATTCTTGTGTGTTTGATTCCTCGGAGAATCTGCAGAACCTCGTGTGCCCTTGTGGGGTATGAGCGATGGTTATTTATTGATTCCTCGGAGAATCTGCAGAACCTCGTGTGCCCTTGTGGGATGTGAGCGATGGTTATTTATTGATTCCTCGGAGAATCTGCAGAACCTCGTGTGCCCTTGTGAGGTGTGAGCGATGGTTATTTATTAATTCCTCGGAGAATCTGCAGAACCTCGTGTGCCCTTGTGGGGTGTGAGCGATGGTTATTTATTGATTCCTCGGAGAATCTGCAGAACCTCGTGTGCCCTTGTGGGATGTGAGCGATGGTTATTTATTGATTCCTCGGAGAATCTGCAGAACCTCGTGTGCCCTTGTAGGGTGTGAGCGATGGTTATTTTTGGTTCTTCAATTGAACCTGCTGAGATGAGTCGGTACTGCATTTGCATCTGCATAGAGTCGTGTGTCGGTCTCTATGAGTTGCATGTTGTCATCTTCATATGATGCATTAGTGAAATAAAGATGAATGTAAATGTTTATGTGAAAATGATGTGAATTATAGAAGTATGATTGTATATGCTTATATGATTTGCGGTAAATGAAACTTAATGTATATGTGATTGTTAGGAGAAGTGTGTGTGTGTGTGTGTGTGTGTGTGTGTGTGTGTGTGTGTGTGTGTGTATATATATATATATATATATATATATATATATATATATATATATATATATATATATATATATATATATATATATATATATATATATATATATATATATATATATATATATATATATATATATATATATATATATATATATATATATATATATATATTATATGTTGATGTGGAGTGGTGAGTGTGTGAATTGATTGAGAAATGTGGCATATATGTATTTTATGATTGTTTATATACATATTTATATGCATTGTTATTATGGTAATATTTCTCACCCTTCTGCTGTTTTATGATGCTCTATGACGCATTGCAGATTAGGATTTACTGGAGGTGTATTTTGGAGTATAGCTCCTTTTCTCTTAAGTCGGTCGCTCTGATATGTAACGTCGGGTAGCTAGGCTTGTAGAGTATCTTCGTGATACATTATATATATGTAATAGTTGATGATGTTTGGTAAACTGTGATTGATGTTATGAACAACCTAATGACGTGTACTTGTATTTTATCATGTCTTAAGTAATTCAATGTTTTAGTCTTCCGCTTTAACAGAAAACATGAATATGCTTGTTTTAAGAACCATGTGTTTATTCTTTTTAGTTGAGATTTACCTCTTTTGAATTATTTCCTTATAAACATTAATATTCATGTGGTCGTTTCGTGAGTAATGTGACGCACTTCTTTTATACCATGAAATAAATATACTCTGATGGAATTTTTAATTCGTGCCTAAATGATTTAATTGTGTCATTTGGGGGTATAGAAAGGGCGCGTTACAGTACGTACCATTTTTTTAACTATAAATACGATTGCAAACCAATGAATCTTTTCACAATATTGTATCCCAAAAGACTGAAGCTTTAGTGTATTTTGAGTTGAGTGGAGCCTAGAATGTCTGCATTTCTAAATCAGCGTCCATCGTCGTCGTCGTCATCAGCATCGGAGGAACCGTTTCCAGAGTTTGATATAATGAAAAGAAACGTCGTAGTTGTGTTTTCAGCAACAAAGCCTCCGATGAAGGTGCTCCTCTGGAATACGCAGTCGTTGGAGCACTTGCACAGGGAACTGAACCGGTGGCTAGAAGGAGACATTGGTCCAAGAGAAAAGATTAGGAATATCGAGAGGCTGGTCGAGGAGACCGGGAGAAACGGAGTGACTCGTGAATGGAGAAAATTGGAAAATGATGTCGGTGTCCTTGTGATGATGTTGACACCAAAGAAGATAAAGTTGATGGTCGTGATATCGTAGACGCTTTGGTGCAGTGTTTTGTTTTAAGTCTTTACGTTGTTGTTATGTTTGTTTAATTTATGTTGCCTTCGCGCAGTGTTCTGTTGTCATGTTGTTGTTGTGTCAGTTAACTATGGTTTTAATTGATTGAAACCTGGTATTATTCAATGAAATTTGCTATTAATCTTATAAAAGTTGCTATTAATGGAATGGAATTTGATATTGATTTAACGGGACAAGATTACATATGAAACTATGATCTGCTGCTTGATCCTACATTAGGACATTTTGTTCGATTGTGTCCTGGTTGCCGACACAAACTACACAATCTCACCAGCTTGTCTGCGGTATCCATCTCAGTTCAAATGTGCGTGCTGTTAGGCCGACTCTTCTTCTGTCTGTGCATCAAGTCATTATGCCTAACAATTTCGCCTTCGTATTGAGGCCAATAGTCCTCCTTTACCACCACTTGAAAGTTGCATGTGTAGACATTGCATAGACTAATGACTTGGTGAACTGCAGAAAGAAGGTTGGTTGGGTCCTGGCGCAACTTGGAACATGCTGCTATGACATGAGAGCACGGCATACGAAATGCTTGAAACTTTCCATAATCATACCAGCTCTTATCCAATTCAACACGGTAACATCCCCTAGGCCTTCCTTCGTTGTGATCCATAGACTCGGCAACACTGAACCAACCAGTCGTACAGTCAAAGATTGTGACCACGTGTGTGTTGGCTTTGGCAGCTTCCTCTTTCATGAATTTCATTGAAGTATCGCTATACAGCTGGCCCGATTGTAATACCGAATCCCACTTCGTACGTCTGCTATCAAAGAGTGATCCTAGCCTAAAATAGGTTGCCTTTACCAAGGCAGTTATTGGGAGGTTTCGAATTCTCTTGAAAACATAATTCATTGATTCGACGAGGTTAGTTGTCATGTGGCCCCATCTCACCCCTTTGTTGTATGCCCGCATCCATTTCTCCCGATCAATGTTATCAATCTATCGTAATGCAACTGCATTTGTCAGTCTGATCTCGTCACGGTAGTATTTGAATGTGGGTTCAGTTAGTGTATATCCTGCGTTCACAACCTTCTTCTGTAGGGTCTTGTCTTTGATTTCACACATGAAATTTTGGGCAATGTGCCTTATGCAAAAGACGTGGGTAGTTGGAGGATCCTACCAACCACTTGTGAAGCATGCATTTACAACATATCCACTTGTGGAATATAAATATAGGGTCTTTACCCATCAAATTCTACTCACACTTAAACTCTCCTACTCTCCTACTCTCAACCCTCAGCTCTCAACTCTCAAACTCTCAAACTCTCAAACTCTCAACTCTCAAAATATCAAACTTTCAACTCCCAAACTCTCAACTCTCAAACTCTCAAATCTCAAACACAACATCTTTAAATCTCAACATCCCAAACGACAATGTCTCTACTCACCATGGGTGACTCTCACAGAGGGACGGCTGAAAACATCGCCGAGTTTGTAAGTCTTTTGTTCTTGTCTATGTTTACAATTTCGTATAAAAAACGTTAGTAATTTTACTTCTTCTCTAACGTAACATTCATTATTCTGCAGGATGTATCAAGGTTTCGATGTCGTGTGCATGATTACATACCACACGACCTGCTCATTACGGACTAGCTTACTCATTGTGGGTTTGGTGATTTGATCGAAATCAAATCTTACTCCCTCGACATGAAATTTATTCTAGCGTTGTTAGAACGCTGGAGACCGGAGACACATACATTTCACCTACCTTTTGGTGAGTGTATTGTGACTCTTCAGGACGTTTACATGTTGCTCGGCCTACACATCGATGGTAAGACCGTCAACAACAAAGTTGGTGTCCCTGACCGACTTTGCGAAGATTTATTAGGCGCCTCTCTTTGTATGGACGGACCTCAGGCGGACAACGAGGGCCTCCCGAGGGGTCAGGGAATTAATTTAAAATACCTTAGAGAATAATACAATTGTATTGTCTTAACTGATGATAGCACGGAGTATGAGAAAATACTCAAAACTCGGTGCTATATTATGATTTTATTCAGGCACTTTTTATTTCCAGATGGCACTGGAAATACCGTCCATACTATGTATTTACCATTATTGGGGAATATTAACAAAGTGTGCGAATATAGCTGGGGATCAGCGGTCCTCGCCCATCTATATAGCGCACTTTGTAAAACTTCAAAAAAAAAATCATGTACTTTTTATGCTTATCTTCTGCAAGCGTGGGGTTGGTCTAGGATGCCAATGCTTGCTCCAATAAACATGATTTATTTTACGTTCCCATACGCCAACAAGTAAGTATCTTTTTAAGATTATTTAGCAACTACATATTCTTTTTCAGTTAATAATTTTTGAGATGTGTTTATTTTTTTAGGTGGTATATTCCAAGGATGAATTATCAGAGATGTCCAAGGCACTCTATAATTCAATACCGCAACCTAATCGACCACCTTGGGCTAGATGATGTAAGTTATTTACCATTAATTTTTTTAATGTATATGCATAAACCTCTCAAACAATGTCTAACTTAATTGTCCAACTTTATTGTAGTTTGTCTGGATGCCGTACGAGGGTCTCCACCACCAGCCCAACCCCGATGATGTCGCTGTGTGGTCATCAAAGACACCCATAATTAGGTTCACTACGGTGGAGATGCACCAAAGTGACCGGGTGAAACTACAATTTAGGATGCATCAGGATATTCCAGATGCTCTAGTAGACTTGGGGCAGTGGCATCAAAAGCGGGTGGACGCACAGTGGAGTGTTAGTGATTGGAAGGAGTTTGCGAAGGAGTTGCGTATACATTGGAAAAGAAGAAGGCAGCACGTCTTAACCGATCGTGTTGTGCATGGGGCTAGGCCAAGTCTTCAATATATGACTTGGTTTAGGTCTGTCACGACATATCAGTTTTTCCTGTCCCAGCCAACCTATTTGGCTGACCCAAGGGAACGCGATTCTTCGTCAAACACACAGCAACAGTTCAATGCCCAAAATTGGCCTTACGAAAACCCATACATGTCAACAAATACCCCCTATCAACAACAACATCCTTACATGCCACCCACCCAGTCTCAACCTCAACCACCATACCATTATAGCCCTGATACGTCTTTTGAGCCTATCCCTTCCACCTATAGCCCTGATACGTCTTTTGACCCTACCCCCTCCAACTACCCCGCTAACTACCCCTCCAGTCATCCACTATTTGACTACCACACCCCACAACAACCAACACACATAGACCAACCCAATTCCATGTACACATTCGGACAACCATATCGTCCATACTCCACCCAACCTTCCCGACAATCCTTCGAAAACATGGGCATTGGGCTTGACTACGGCAGCACCATTGACAGTGGACCTCCCGGCTATTGGGGTCAAATGATGCAAAATCTATCTGATACGTCGGAGCCGTCCCAACAACATCCTCCTCCACAACTCAACACACAACGTCCCGACACACCACAACAACCTCGTCGTAGACCTCGTCGCAACCCGCATCCTCCACAGTGTGGCACCGGTGGTCGCTTGGATAGAGCCGACCATTAGTTTTTTTTTTGTCGTTGTAATTTTCATTGTATTGTAAATTAATATATTTTAATATTTTTTACAATTCTATTTTATTCTAAGGTTATTTAAATTTCAATTCATTATGCAAAAACAAACAACATAATTTACTGACAAATTTTAATTAATAAATAATTAATATATTTATAAATTAAATAATAAACTTAATGTATTTAATAGGTAATTAAAATATTTACAAATTTAATAATAAACTTAATGTTTATTAATATTTATTAAAAAATAATAAACTTAGAATATTTATTAAAAGTTACAATCAACATTAAACTAAAAAACAATTACAATTAAAAAATAACGGAAAAAGCAAAACCCTAATTGGATTGGCCTAATTCGCCAATCCGTCTGGCGAATGCTATCTAAGGCCCAATCGATTTTGCCTGTTTCGCCAATCCATCTGGCGAATTGGTTCCATGTCATTTTAACTTTTTGCCCCTTTCGCCAATTCATCTGGCGAATGTTTGCTGGATGATAGTTGGTTTGGTAATTTATTTGAAGACTGCATTTATATGGTAATTACTTTCCAATACATAGCTAGTTTAAAAAAAAATTCAACTTTTCTCATACTTTTCTCTATTTAATTATTTTAATTCAAGTTTTAGATTTTTTTTAGTTTTTGTTTAGATTTCGACTATTTTTGTTTTAATAGTTAACTTGTCTAATATTAAAAGACCAAAATTCTAATTAATTTTTTAGCTTTTTCTTTTATTTTTTTAATTGATTTTGATTTTTTTATTTCTTCTTTAATTATTGAAAATACAAAAATATTTTAACGTTTTATTTTAATATTTTCTCTTTCTAGTTTAATTATTTGTTAAGTTTTATAAATGTAAAAATATATGTTGTAATTATTAGTTAATATAAATATTCTTATTTAATTTGATTGATTAAATTATTATTTAATCTTATTAAATATATATATTTAAATTAATTAATAGTTTTTTATTGTTCGATTCTATTTCATGAATTGATCTGCTTTCGTGTTTTGGTTTTGTGTCTTCGATAAATTCTTGATGTTATGACTTGATTAAATGATGATGATTTATACACGATTCTTTGCCGTGATTGTTTGTGTATTTTACTCGTGATGTTTTGCCGTGTATCTTTGTTTGTTGATTACATGATGTTTTTCCTTATATTTCTGTTGATTTTTCATTGCTTGATTACCGTGATGTTTTTCCATGCATATGTGCTATTTTATCTGTCTGACCATACATGATGTTTTTCCGTGTACTTTGTTTGTGCTTTTATTTGATACCATTTACATGATGTTCTTCCATGTATTTGTTGCTTTTTGTTCCTTGTTAACAGAATCCAAGGGAAAGGATTGTATGTTGACTTATTATCATTGTGCATGTCCCTTGTTTGTACACTTTACTTGTCTTTATTGTTCTTAGAACCCTAAAAACTCGTAGTTCCACGAACTACGGGCACTCTGATTTCTCAAGTTCTTCTTAAGAATATGTAGGCACAAGACCCTAATCCTTAGCGAGCAACCTTTTACTTTTTCACCATTTTTACACCCTTTTTCATCGTAGTTCTGAACTACGATTGTGCTGACTTCTTATTAAGGATACATGGGCATAAGATTGCAATGATCCTAGCGAGCTACCTTTTTCTTTTTCCACCGCTTTATTTTCTTTGCCCATCCTTACCTTTAGCAAACAATTTTAGCTAAAACACAAATATTTTCAAGAGGCTCTTGTAGACTACTGCAGATTCTTAGGGTACTAGTACCCTCCCTTAGTATAACTAACCCTCATACCTTTGATCTCTCTTTTGCTTAGCCTTAGGCCTTGCTTTTTGCTATGCATTTTATTTATGGGTTATTCTTTCTTTTCCCATTCCCTTGGATAAATTAAAGATCAGTGATGATATTTTATGATTTGTGATTCAAGCTAATACAGTAGCTTGATATCTAATTCTCACCGTGACACTTATCATCCATCTCAAGAAATCTTCATGTTACTCTTAGGTTTACATTTCTTTTTCAGTATCTGTTTACGAATGTATCTTTTGAGAACCTTGTTTGTTATTTGTACTCACCTCATCATGAGCTAAATCTTTTGTATATTGAGCAATGAGAATTTAATGTTATGTTGTTTCTATGTTAAGTAATGTGATATTTAGTGCCTTGTTTTATTATGTGTTAACTTGCATATAAATCTGATTCTTTGAGTGATCAACTTAAAAAAAGATAACAACTTGTTGTTGTGAAAGATCCAACAACAGGTGAATTTCATAATAAAAATAGTTGAAAAAAGTAGGATATAATTTCTCTATGTACTTTCCTTCTTCTCTGCTCACGTCTCCATTGGGATCGAGACATGGGATTTTTCCCTTTATAATTTTCTGACACATGGGCAGCCTTCGAAGACTGAAATTCTTTTCGATAGCTTAACGAAGATCCCCTTTGTACTTTGAAATTTTTCCACCTCTTCTGCCCTTGCTGCTTGTTCTCATTGGGCTTCGTCCATTTTCCATCAGTGGCCTCAGCATTGGGCTTAAAGCTAGTGGGCTTGTTCATCGGAGGCCTTATCCGAGGGTCAGATCTCTGCTGAAGGCCTCTTCGAGGGTCGAATCTTGGCCTTTCGTTTTTTTTCTTCAACCTTCGTGTCCCTTCCAACTATTGTGCAACCTTCTTGTCGAATATGACGCTGCACCGGGGACAGAGCATCACACTAGAACCCTTTTCCTGGCAGCGGTGAAGGAAAGAAATGATGGATTCCTCCTGCTCTGGGTAGGCTTCCCTTGTGTGTGTTTTCTGGTAGTTTGACTCATTATCCGCTACCTCCTCATGTTGAGTGATTTGAACCATGTTAATCTCGATTTCTTTGGCTAGGTTAAGCTTCTTCAAGCTTAACTCCACGCCTTTGGTGGCTTCATCGATCTTAACGAAGTCATCAGCTGTTTCCTTGGTCACTATCTCCCAACCCAGATTGTTCCTGCTGCTTGGGCCTTTGGCTTCACCCCTCTGGTCACAGCTATCAACTTCCATTTCGACACAGCTCTCCTGTCCGAAACTGATGGTAACTTTCGCCATTACAGCTTCGTCTATGGGATTGCCAGCAGCCTCTGTTACTTCGATTGAAAAGTCGTAACCGCTGACAACTTCGATCATATTAGCCTCGACTGGCTCTGTGTAATTTACGTCTGCCGTTTGCAGAGGATCTGAGTCGACCTTCATTTGGCCACCAACTTTCTCTCTGAACTTTAGACGTCCCTCTTGGATCGCATTCTGAACAAGGTCCCTGAAAAGAAAACATTGAGATGTTTTATGACCCAAGAAGTTATGATATTTACAAAACCCTCTTTTCTTCCTTTGCTCTAGGGACGACATTTTGGCGCCAGGAGGCACTATCATTTTTCCATCCTTAACTAATAAATCAAAGATTTCATCACATTTTGTGATGTCGAAGGTATATGTTTTCTTTGGGAACCTATCATTATTTTCAGATTCGACATAACTCTTTCCTTGTGGGGGAGCTAATACTTTGCATAAGTAGGGTGGTCCTTGCTTGAGTTCAGCAAGATCCACTTCACCATCGTCGAAACTCATGGACTCGTCACACAGACCTTCGACATTATCATTAAATTCGACAAAAGCTATCTTTTTATTTTTATTAAACTTAGCCTTTTCTTCTTTGAGTCTTTCGAGTTGTCGAACCCGATCGGCTAATTGGGCTATGTCCCTTAGGTACTGGGTGTCCAACTTTTTCCTAATAGAGTAGTCGAGACCACCAGCAGCCATTTCGACCAACTCATGTTCAGGGACCTGCGTGAAGCATCTGGCCTTGAGCAAACGAAACCTATTAAGGTACTCCTCTATTGGTTCAGAGAATTTACGCTTCACACTAGCTAGTTCCTTCAAGCTAATTTTAGTCTGACCCATATAGAACTGTTCATGAAACAAACGCTCTAACTGGGTCCAGTTACATATCGTGTTAGGGGGAAGCGTCGTGAACCAGGTGAAGGCGTTCTTAGTAAGAGAACTTGGGAAGTATTTTATCCTAATGATTTCATCGTTCGCTATCTCTCCAGCCTCAATTAAGTAACGAGCCACATGTTCGATGGTGGATTCCGTCGTATCTCCTGAAAACTTAGTGAATTTAGGTACTTTCGTCCTAGGAGGTAACTCCGCCTGAAAGATATAGTCTATTATAGGTGAAGTGTAATTTGGCCTAGTAAAACCGGTGTTTAACCCATTTCTGGCCATAATTCTCTCGACCATGGCTGCTAGATTATTGTCTACGACTATGTTGTTTCGACGAACACGCTGGACTACATTATCTGCGTCTTGGTTTCGATTCACAACCACCACACCTGGATTCCTTTCTCCCAAGCCACGGGGTTGGTTTTGCAAAGGCTCTTCCCTAAGCTCTTCGACTACCGGGGGAACTATCCTTCCTTGGTTTCCTACGTCGACTTCTATCATATTCGCCAGGTTATCTCGCGGGGCATCCGCTACTGCGGCTTGGTTTCTGGTTAAGGGAGGTACCCCCATGAACTCAGCCAATCTTGTTAATTGTATTGCCAATTGTTGATTGGTATGGGTTCTATTTTGGATTAATGGTTGAAATATTTCACCCATAGTTTGTGACAAAGTCTGAACCATCTGTAGGTTGCTTTCATCCATCTGCTGCCTCAAACAAGCAACTGAGGTGTTGGTCAAACTGGGGCCTTGTGTCGAATACCCTAAACTCTGGGGGTTTCGACCCATGTTCACACCTGACCCTGACCCTTGTAGTGGTGAAGCCATCGCCTGATCTGAGAATACAGGGGGTGTACTTTGGAGCCCTTACATCATAGCAGTGGGCATCCCATATGAGGGGTTTCTTGGTGACTGTGAAAAACCAGGAGGCGCAAACTGCCTGGACGTCGAACTTCCTCCTAACAAAATCTGAGGATTCGACGTTTGGTGACCGATGTATTCCAACACTGGCTGAGTATAAGGCCTTATCACTGTA